TTTGGATGCAAACGTGCCGGGCATATGCCGGGCACGTGCCGGGCATATAGGGCATATATATTAAATGCCGGGCATTTTTTCAACCGTACTCTTGACAGTCACTGTCATTGAGATATTTATTGAAATGCCAACATTTAATCACAAGTGTTTGCAGCGCTGGTAGTCTTGAGATGTTATCTAAACCCTAGCGTGTAATAGCATTAGTCGTAATGAGTAGGTATTGAAGTCGTGGCCACTGTTTGTCGCAATTAATAAACAATTTATCACTCAATTGCCACGAATTGAGTGTTAAATGCGTTAATCGGTGGCAGAGTTTTAAGGGATAGGGGGCCTCACGATCCTATAAACCACATTCTTCATATATGAATTGTGGTTAAAAATATTTCATACTGGTTTCTAAATGTGACCATGATCAGTTAAATTGTATATAAATAAATTTACAAATAAATAGTTATTTAATTGGTTTTTATTAAAATTTTTATTCAAATTCTTAAACATTTATTCATTTATTAAAACCGAGAGAATAATAATAATAATCAAAATCAAACATAAAATGAAAAAATTAAATAAAAATCAAATGTTTTGATTGTATTTAAAGTGTTAATTAAGTTGAAAAAATCGCTCAAATATTAATACTATTTTTACTTTGAATAAAACTTCGAGACATTATATCGATTACATCGGAGTTCAATGGACTTGAGTTTAGCACTTCTGGAGAACAAGTCATGGAAGACATTATCTATGAAATGATTGCCAACGAAGTGAGGTCTGATCTCAAACCCCATGAAGTGATTGCAATCCAACACAAGTGTCTGCAGCGCCGGTAGTCTTGGGATGTGATCCAAACACTCGCGAGTGATATCATTGGACTTAATGGTTAGACATCGAAGTCGTGGCCAATGTTCGCCGCAATTATCCGGTAATTTAAGGTTAAATACACACCCTTTGAGTGTTAAATGCGTTAATCGGTGGCAGCGTTTCAACGGATCCAGAAATAGGTCATCGATGGCCACAAAGAGTGTTAAATCCAAACTTTTCAATCTGTGATAACATCCCAACGAATCCAATGAGTGGTGATATAGTCTTCGATTCTTAGAGAACAATATAAGACTCAATCGTTTCAATTGCGGACACTTCTGGCCGATTGTCCGCAAAGACTTGTTCAATGAGTTTCGGCCGTACTTTAGAATTAAACCTAACGTCAAATGCAGTAATTGTGGTAATCGTGACAACTGTTCTGCCATTTCGATCAAACTCTCGTGAGATTCATATCTATTATCCATGATTTTGACACTTCTTAAGGACTGATTCTGTGCCACGAATGCAGACAATAGTTGATTATTTTCGAGTGATCTGTAATACAACTCAAATCTCTGCAAATTCTTTGCCAATAGTTCACCGGAAGTGATATCAAAGACATTGGATAAGTTGTGGACAACAAGTCGAGACAATTGGTGACAATGAGTGAGTGATTGTCTGTGATTCGCGGATATACTGTCAATTCTGATCACCAGTTGTCCGAACTCTGGCATCAATTGATCCGTATTTGTGTCTAAATTGCAGTAAATGTGCCGCAAATGCGGACAATTGTCACGAAATATGGCCAACACTTCCACTAATTGTGTCGGATATTTAATGCCTATTCCTCTGCAGTCAATGGTATGAATGTGTAAACACTTGCGAGCGATTGTAAACCACATTTCAGTGACAGTGATGTTAGTCCGCGATCTTCTCATAAAATATCTGTAAAGAGTGATGTGAACAACACTGTCGAAGACTGTCCTCTGGAACTGTTTGGACACACATTCGCAGACAAAGCGCTCGTCGAGTGATAGGTATGACAGTATGAGTCCACACAAGTCGTCACCGAAACGATCGAAAGATTTCTTCGCGTATATCTGTGGCTAAAAATGTGAAAAAACAATTAAAACTCATAAGACATTCAATTGTTTAGTCACTCAAAACCTGTTGTATGTCTTCTTCGCCTTCGGTGTCATCTGTGGAGACGCGTAATCTCTTCGTTGATGTCATCTCTTGTGCCATATCTTTGGATCAAATCAAGTGATTGTCTGAATAAATGATTTTATTATTAAATATACAATTAATACAACGATTGAAAGTTTGACTAAAAATGTGAGAAAACGTGTAAAATATTTGTTGTGTTAAAAACTTTTGTAAAACATTTGACAGTATTTTGTAATGAAATACTATTTATTGTATTCTTTGTGTTTTTCAATCTATTTTCAAAGTTTATTGTATTTGATATTAATTGTAGTTTAAAATTATAAAATCAATTAAATATTTGACAATATTTTCTAAATGTTGTATGAATTTAATTGTGTGTATAAATCAATAAACATTTAATTGAGTTTTATTTCAATGTTTTATTCAAATTATTTCGCATTTTATTAATAACATAATCAGATATTTTTAATACAATTAAATTACATAATAAATAGTTATAAATAATTTAAAAACAAATATAAAAGTGTAAAAACAGTCATATTTAAAACACAATTAAAACACATTTTGACAGTATTTACACTAAAAATAAAGTTGCCTTTCAATCGCTTTCACAAACATTTACCCCATTTTTTACGCCAATAAAACTATTGACGGAGAAATTCATGACAAGTATTTCAATTGTCTTCAGTTTAGCACTTCTAGAGACCAACTCTTGACAGACATTGTCGTTGAGATTTTTGTTGAAATGCCAACATTTAATTACCAGTGTCTGCAGCGCTGGTAGTCTTGAGATATTATCCAAACCCTCGCGAGTGATAGCATTAGTCGTAATGACAACTCTTGACAGACATTGTCGTTGAGATTTTTGTTGAAATGCCAACATTTAATTACCAGTGTCTGCAGCGCTGGTAGTCTTGAGATATTATCCAAACCCTCGCGAGTGATAGCATTAGTCGTAATGAGTAGGTATTGAAGTCGTGGCCACTGTTTGTCACAATTAACAAACAATTTCTCATTCATTTGCCACGAATTGAGAGTTAAATGCTTTAATCGGTGGCAGAGTTTCAACGGATCCAGAAATACGTCATCGATGGCCGCAGTAATGGTTAAATCCAAACGCTTTAATCTGCAATAAAATCGCAACGAATCCAATGATTGATTATTTAGTCGACGGAAGTAAACGCCTAAAGTCAATGACAATCGTTTCAATTGCCAACACTTCAGACCAATTGCTCGCAAAGACTCGTTCAATGAGTTCTGACCGTCCATTAGCTTCACATCGAGTGTCAAATCACGTAATTGTGGTAATCGTGACAACTGTTCGCCCATTTCGGTCCAACTCTCGTGAGGTTCGTATTTATGATCAATGATTGTAACACTTCTTAGGGTCTGATTCTGTGCCACGAATGCAGACAACAGTTGTTTGTCATCGGATTTATTGTATGAAAACTCAATTCTCTGCAAATTCTTCACAAATAGTTCATTAAAAGTGTCGTCAAAGACATCGCATAACGTGTGGACCCGTAGTCGAGACAATCGGTGGCAATGAGTGAGTGATTGTCTCGTATTTAACGAAATTCTGTCGATTCTTGTGACCATTGGTCCGAACTTTGGCCACAATTTATCGGTATTTCTGTTTAAATTGCAGTAAATGTGTCGCAAATTGTCCCGAAATATGGCCAACACTTTCCGCAACTGTTTCTGATTTCTTTTGTTTATTCTTCGGCAGTCAATGGTGTGAATGTGCGGACACTTGTGGCCGATTGTGGCCAACATTTGCATGTCATTGATGTCAGTCCGCGATCTCTTCACATACGGGTCGTGAAGAGTGATGTCGACAACACTCTCAAAGACTGTCCTCTGGAACTGTTTGGAAACACATTCGCAGTCAAACCGATCTTCGAGTGAGAGGTACGACAGTATGTGTCCACACAAGTCATCACCGAATCTGTCCATTGAGTTCTTCGCGCAGAACCGCCGCTAAAATGTGAGACAAAAAAGTCAATTAAAATTCATTAAACACTCAATTGTTTTGTCACTCAATACCTGTTGTATGTCTTCGTCTTCGCAGTCATCTGTGGTAACGAGTGATGTCTTCGTTGGTGTCATCTCTTGTGCCATATCTTTGGATCAAATGAAGTGATTGTTTGTATCAATGCTTTGATTGTTAACTCATTTAAAGTATTTTTGTTATGAAATGTAAACAAAAGTCAATTAATATTTCATCACTTGTTTTGTGGCCAAAACTTTTGCCACTCATTACAAGTGATGCCATAAATAACGTGATAATTACGGCACAGTTATGCAAACATTCATAACTTTTGCAAATTTACTTAAAAGTAAAATAAATATTTAATTAATTTATTAAATTAGTTATAATTAATATATTTGTTTGAATAACAGAATAATAATAGTAAATATTTGTTTATAGAAGAATGGGTTAACTGTTAGCACTATTTAAGCCAGTTTTTATGTGTTTGTTAACTGCTTTTGTTATTCAATACAAATTGAATAAAAAGTTTTAAACTTCAAAATAAGCGCAAAGTTTTGAATTTTTATACTTTTTTAGTACCCTATTGTACCCTTTTTATCATTGATTTTATAAATTGCAGTAAAATATGTAATAATTTATCACTAATTTTATTACTAATTTTAATATTACTAACGTTTGCTATAAGTCGTGGTTTTGATTGAATGTGATTTAACTGTAGTAGAAATCTCTTCTATTGATACTTTAGTTGTACTTTTGGCCACTCGGAGCATCACTTCCAGCCATAGATGTAATGGCGTTCAAATCAATTGAAAACTGCTTCTCTTTATCCAACATTTGCCGATAGTTTGAGGCGAGGAATGCCTTCAGCGCCGACACGAACTCATCGGTCGGTCCGCTGTTTCTGTAGCCAACTCTGGCCACTGACAGCACGTTCTCCATAGTCAACATTGCGCCCAATCGGCTGCCAATCGCTTCGCTCAGACCACGGATCCGATACTTGGCGGCCAACTCAGCGATTCCGTCCACCGTTTCTATTGTGATCATTGTTTCCAAGTGTTGGCCAATGGTGTCGACCAAAGGGATCACACGGTAATAGTCGGCGCAGTAGACGACATCACCGATCAGTTTCAGATCATTGGCATCCGTGAGACACAGCCTTTGAGTGTACATAAAGAGTACCATTGTTTCGAAGGCATCGACAGTCGTGTGCGTAATCGGGATCTCTTTGGCCGTCGACTCCGAGTATTGTTGTCCCGAAAACATGGCGTCAAAGACATCACTCTTGAGCCCTAAGACTGACTTCTTTGCGGGCACTCTCTGGCCATCGATGATGAAGACGACGTCACTCTTGGATTCGTTCAGAAAGTGTTTCATTTCGGGAAACCTCTCGTCGTTGTCGTCACCGATGGATGTCTTTCTCCTCTTTGCCGTCGACTGTAATTCAAAACAATTAGTAAATGAGTTGATAAACGAATGGTGGATATTATACGTGATTGTCCTGATCTTGGGATCCACTGCCAGTATTGTCTGCCATTTTGTTTCAGTGATTACAAGACTGTCTTCAAAGTGACAGTTAGTCTGAAAACTATTTCACAACTAATAAAACAATTGAAAGTTTGAATTCAAATGAAAACGTGATATAAAATACACAACAATACCATTGGTTTGCAATTTAATTATACAATTCATAGCAAATAGTGATCATTTTGTGGATCAGTTTGTATTCACATTTTTATCTAAATATTTATATCAAAAAATAAATTAATTATAAAAACTATTTATTAAAAAGTTAAACATTTATTTATTAATCGAGATTTTAATTGAATACAGAAATGAAAAATAAATCACATAAAGTTGTCTTTCAATCGCTTCAAACATTTACATCACTTTTACGGCAATAAAACTAGAACTTTATGTCAAAACTTTTGACTCAAAGTTTTGAAAACTTTGTTTACAGTTAAGTTTTAAATTACAAAATAAGTTCAAATATTCAAAACTTACTAAATATTGCCGTTATTTTAATTATAAATTTTACCGGTAATATGTTTACAGAATAAATAAACATTAAATGTTTTATTTCATATTTGTGTTCAAATTCTTAAGCATTTATTTGTATCTTAAAACCAAAAGATTAATTATAATTAAAGTCACAAATAAAATCAATAAAACAAAATGCAATCAAATGTTTAGTTGTATTCAAAATGAAAATAAAGACCATTTTTACGGCAATAAAACTTTTCATCAGTATTTCTATGGATTTCAATGGTTTTCAGTTTAGCACTTCTGGTCAAAAGTTCTTCGCAGACATTATCCGTGATTTCTTTGCCAAATAATCGTTTAAATTTAACTACAAGTGTCTGCAGCGCTGGTAGTCTTGAGATGTGATCAAAACCATTGCTTGTGATATCAGTTCTTTGAATGGATAAGCATTGAAGTCGTGGCCAATGTTTGTCACAATTAACAAACAAATTGTCATTAATTTGACTCGAATTAAGCGATAAATGCGTTAATTGGTGGCAGAGTTTCAGCGGATCCAGAAATACGTCATCGATGTCTATAAAGATTGATAAATCCAAACGTTTTAATCGTGGATAAGATCTCAACGAATCCAATGATTGGTCTTCTAATCGGGAGTTATTATAATTCAATACAAGTGTTAATCGTTTCAATTGTCGGCATTTCTGGCCGATTGTCCGCAAAGACTTGTCCAACGAGTTGTGGCCACTCATTGGCCTCAAATTGAGTTCCAAATCCCGTAATTGCGGTAATCGTGACAACTGTTCGGCCATTTCGGTCAGACTCTCGTGAGTTTGATAACTCAGGTCAAAGAGTTTAACACTTCTTAGGGACTGATTCTTAGCCACGAATGCAGACAAGCGTTGGTTATCATTGGATATACTGTCGTAAAACTCAATTCTCTGCAAATTCTTTGCCAACAATTCGCCGAAAGTGTCGTCAAAAACACCGGACAGTGAAGCCCGGAGTCGAGACAATCGGTGGCAATGAGTGAGTGGTTGTCTGTCGCCAAACCAAATACGGCCGATTCGTGTGACCATTGGTCCGAACTCTGGCATTATTTGAGCCGTATTTGAGTCCAAATAGCAGTAAATGTTCCGCAAATGCAGACAATTGTCCCGAAATATGGCCAACACTTCCGGCAATTCCATCGTATAATTGATTCTTCTTATATCAATGGTGTGAATGTGTGAACACTTGCGGGCAATTGTGGCCAACATTTTCATGTCATTGCTATTAGTCCGTGATTTCATGGACTCGTTGAGAGTGATGTCGACAACACTCTCGAAGACAGTCCTCTGGAACTGTTTGGAAACACATTCGCAGTCAAAGCGCTCGTCGAGTGAGAGGTACGACAATATGAGTCCACACAAGTCATCGCCGAAACGATTGAATGACTTCTTTGGCTAAAAATGTGAACCAAAATAAAAGATAATTAAAACTCAATAAACATTCAATTGTTTTGTCACTCAATACCTGTTGTATGTCTTCGTATTCGGTGTCATCTGTGGTGACGCGTAATCTCTTCATTGATGTCATCTCTTTGTATGATATATTGGGATCAAATGAAGTGATTGTTTGTATCAATGCTTTAATTAATAAAAATGTATTTAAAGTATATTTTGTTATGAAATTCAAAGCAAATGCCAAACAAAACATGTGTTAATACTTTCAATACATTTACCCTTAAAAGTGATGCAATAAATAATGTGTTAATTACGGCACAAATGTTATAAATTCATCCCTTTTTACATTTAATTAATAAATTATTAAATGTTTTATTAATTTATTTAATTAGTTATAAATAATATATATTTTGAGTGAATAGATATTCAGCTCATGTCTAACAAATCAGTTTGTATTTACATTTTTATCTAAACATTAATATCAAAAAATAAATTAATTACAAAAACTTTTTATCGAAAAGTTAAACATTTATTAATTAATTGAATGTATAAATGAAAATTAAATCACATATAAAATTAAAATACTATAAATTTAGCCATAAATTATAATTAAACTGTTTTTATAAAAATTTTAAACAAAATAAAGTTGTCTTTCAATCGCTTCAAATATTTATACCATTTTTACGGCAATAAAACTTTGAAACATTATTTCCACGGATTTCAATGGTCTTCAGCTTAAGACTTCTGGTCAAAAGGTCTTCGCAGACATCATCCATGAAATGATTGGCCAAAAGGTTACGAGTAATCTCAGAGCCAATGAATTGTCTGCATTCAAGCGCTAATGTCTGCAGCGCTGGAAGTCTTGAGATGTGATCCAAACACTCGATAGTGATATCATTAGTCTTAATGAATAGGTATTGAAGTCGCGGCCAATGTTTGTCACAATTAACAAACAATTTGTCACTCATTTGAGACCAATTGAGCGATAAATGCTTTAATCGGTGGCAGAGTTTCAACGGATCCAGAAATACGTCATCAACAGTCACGCGTATTATTACATCCAAACGTTTTAATCGTGAATAAGTTCTTAACGAATCCAATGATTGGTCTTCTAATCGGATGTTATTATTATAACTCAATATAAGTGTTAATCGTTTCAATTGTCGGCATTTTTGACCGATTGTCCGCAAAGACTCGTTCAATGAGTTCTGGCCATTCGTTGGCCTCAAATCGAGTTCCAAATCCAGTAATTGTGGTAATCGTGACAATTGTGCGGCCATTTCGGTCAGACTCTCGTGAGTTTGATATCTATCGACAACAAGTTCAACACTTCTTAGTGACTGATTCTCGGCCACGAATGCAGACAACTGTTGGTAATTATGGGATTCATTGTATGAAAACTCAATTCTCAGCAAATTCTTGGCCAACAATTCGCCGGAAGTATTGTCGAAGAAGTTGGACAGTGAAGAGCGGAGTCGAGACAATCCGTTGCAATCATTAAGCACTTGTCTCTCGGCTAACCAAATACCGTCGATTTGTGTGACCATTGATCTGAACACTGGCTTCATTTGAGCCGTATTTGTGTCCAAAATGCAGTAAATGTTCCGCAAATGCCGACAATTGTCTCGAAATATGGCCAACACTTCCGGCAATTTCTTCGTTTCTATTCTTCTTATATCAATGGTGTGAATGTGTGAACACTTGCG